ATGCATGTAATTTATTGTTTCAAGTAGCCAGCCAGCTCAGAGGCCGCAGAGACTCGAGACAAGCCCAAACAGTTCGCCCATCCGTATTTGGAGTGAATGGGTGTCCTGTGTAGTGCCGACTCGAGGCCACATGCGCTTCCCTTCGAACTTCGAACACTGCCCAAGTCGCGCGAGTCTGGAACCTCGCCTGGCCTGTCCGAGTTGCGAGAGCGTAAACCTTAAACGTCAAACCGCTCAAACCCTACTCAACAGCCTCAGGCCATATCCTTCGGGTGTGGAAGAAGGGACGGCGAGCAATATGGAAGCCTAAGTGTTTTCCTGAGGATTGCGTATTGTAAATGTATTATAAAAGAGCCCTGTAGGGTGCGGGATGAAGATTTCGGGCCGCATGCGTTCAATTTGTGAGGACTAGGCCTTATTGCTTGTATGCATAAGAATTGAGGTATCATTATTACTATTCTTATTCTCAAGATGCCGATCTTTATCAGTAACATATCCTTTCGGGCCTTGATCCTACTTTAGCCGCGAAACTTGACGAGTAGAGCTACGGTGCCGACCCTGCCCCTCGGTGCTCAGCCTGTAGCCATTGTCCTGTTGTGAAGATGCAGTGCCGTGCTTTGTGGCTTTATGAAGTCGGGGCTTAGGGCTTGGGGTTTAGAGTTTCGGGATATTTGAGAGTCTCATGGCCCGGATGCAAAAAAGAGTTTTTCAGAGTGGGTCTTCGCAGGTGGACTGCGCTCAAGCTTACATAGGTTTTTTGCTCTCTGCGGCCCTCAGAAGCGGTGCTGGGGCCTCTTCGGGCCACGTCCCATGCAATGATCAATGCAATACAGCTCAGGAGCCGCAATATCAATACGTGAGGTCCTGAGAATATGCAGCCCGCATATGCTAGCAGCATCCTTTTCTCCCCGCGCTCAAGCAGGGCTCGGTGACACTAAAACTTGAAACCCCAAGGGCTAAACGAATAAAGTCGCAAACCAGCCCAAACCTCAAAACAAAACCTGTATAGCAACACCCCAAACCAGAAGCTCTAATCTTAAAACCCAAACCAAAACAAATATTACATCCCCAAACTAGACAACACACAAATCCTAAACCCCAAGGCCGAAACCAGAAACCCGCAGCCCATGAACGCTAAGCCCAGCGCCTCCAAGCCATAAGACACTTTTGCTATAAAGAACCAGAGCCATAAACCACAAAGCGCACATATGCCCCAACAGACCATAAACCTCCAAATCAACCCTTGGTTATTTCCTACAGGAAGGATGGTTGTAGCGTGTGAACATGGACCTACCCCGGAATCTCTTTACCCGTAACCCTGTGAGGTTTGACCTGGATCCCAACAGTATGTGTAATAATTTCCTTTTGTAGGTGTTGCCATTATTTTACCTACTTGTGGAGGTTTAGGTGCCCCTCTGGGTGAATGCAATACTGAATCCCGCAGGCCAAAAGAGCTTCGGAAGCTTGTGCGGCTTGGCTCCAGGGTTTGTACAGGATGTCGTGCGGTTCTTCTTGAGTTGGCCAATGTTGCAGCAATTGCACTTGTACTGTCCATGCTGTTGCTTCTTGTTAAATTGCGCTAGTTTTGTTCTGATTGGTATCATATTAATCTTCGTCTGGCTTTTCGTACTACAGCTTTCTGAGCTTCTGCTGAGTCTACTGTGGAAGTACGTCTGGGGAATGGTGCCTATTGACAGACGTGTGCTTGTGCGGCTTTCCCAGAATAGAGTTCCCAGGGTACCTTAACAAGGGAAGTACACCTATCTATCTTTGTCGGGCGAATGCGTACTCTTGAGCACTGAATCTTTTTGGACTTGCCTGTAGTCTCCGTTGTAGCTCCTTTTTGGGGTGACCTCATAAGATCCTCAACATATAACTGATGTAACTCAAAAATGAAAAATGAACTACAAGCGAGACTATAGGTAGGGCGCAATGGGAAGATAGTCCGAGCCCTAAACCCTAAACCCAAAGCACGTGGCGAGCCCAGGAGATGGCCAACGGTGTCCTGCAGATGCTGCCCTCTTCCATCACTGACGGCGTCCGCAGGTGGACTCTTGGGGGTGCCCAACACTGCCTACTGGACTGAGGGATCTAACTTTCAGGCGAACACTTCGGGTTCGCGTTCAGGGTAGACTGACTAGGAACCAAGGCACACTCCTTCTTGGGCACGAGCACGATAGGAGTGCCAGATGATTGGGGTGCCAAAGAGAAGGGTTTCGGGTAGAGTTTGCTGCTCAAGGCCGGGCTAAAATCGGGGGCCCTGAGCCAACACCACATGTGGAGCTTCCTGCTGGATCCAACACCCGAGCTGCTGAGCCCTGAAGGCCTAAATCGCTAGACTGTCTCATAGTGAGCTCTGCTACAGTGTGAATGCACCCAGGCAGTCCTGAAACCCTGAACTAGAGAGTCATTGAAATCCCGCCGCCTGAAACATGTCTCGGCCTGCTGTGCTCCGTGGTTCAAGTAGCGTTTAGACTTTGTGGCCTTGTGGCCTGCGGAGAAGAGTGCAGTGTTTCTGACATCGATGGATTTTGCAAGCAGTCGCTCAATATGCCCCAACCTCTGGCCTCGTGCCACTACGAGCTCAAGTCAGAAGCCCGAATATGAACTTAATAATTATACATGCCGTGTGTGAGCGTCGTGTATGTATGTCGTGTGTGTATACAGTATACATATACAGTTTGTATATACACGCACATAATTATTTGTATGTAACCCGCTAAACCTTGAAATCGCCGACGCCTTCCTAGAAGATCGGTTTCGGTAAGTTCGCAACCCTCACATGAGAACTCGCCATCCCTCCCGCGGCCCTGAACATTAAGCCCTGCCCTAGGGTTTAGGGTTTAGGGGTTTAGGGTTTAGGGTTTCTTCAGGGTACCCGGCAGTCGCGATAGGCCTGGATGCAAAAGGGTTGAGGGTTTAGGGTTTAGGGTTTAGGCCTGCAAAAATTAAGTAATTTGCAACACTCAGCCGTAAGTCCTTGCAGCAGAACCCCCCTGCACACAACCTTGCACACCGTCGTCCCGAAATACCGATGAAGAGGAGATTCGTCAAAGTTACAAATATGGTTTTGGGGCTGGGGGTTTAGCTTGTAGGGGTTTAGCTTGTGGGGTTTAGGTTTAGGGGTTTAGGGTTTATTATAGGGGGGTTGCGGTGTAGGGTAGAACAGCAGTTCATAGTCTGCTGCGAGTATGACAACTTAGACTTGAAGTCTGCTTGCCTTGGCGGAGTCCAATAAATTCTAAATGGTTTTGCCAGGTTCGAGTTGTCCGTCCTCTTCAATGCGCAAGGCCTGCCAGAGGCGCGTCGAGGTTTAACACAGTTTTCGGCAAGCCTCAGGATCTGTTTACGTTTCCTCTACGGCTGTTTCGAAAGGGTTCGATAATGGTCGTTTATATAGGATTCCATAATTAAGGGTTGCAGGCTGTTGAGTTGTAGCTGCCTGATTCTGATCATCGAAACTCAAGCATTGAATCCTCAACCTCCCAGCTTGGTGGGCTCACCACCGCAACCCTGGCTCCTTGTCAACTGATATGCCATTCGAACCACTGCGCGAAACTGCAAGACGAGAAACAAAGGATTGTGACAGAATGACACAAGGAGTCGCATGGCTCAGGGTTCAATTTGGCTCCAGGGTTTAGCAAGTTTAGGGTTCTGAAGGCACTGTACCCTGCTATCGCACGTGTCCTGGTGTCCGTTTCGAGTTTTGTGTCTGCGGCTCAGAGTGGATTGTGGTCTTTGTGTTCATTGTATGCAGAGTGTGACAATCCCTAAGCACCATGCAAACCCTACGCGTCCTTGCTAAGTAGGAGGCAAAAAAGAACCGTTTCGGGGAGGTCTGCGTCGTTGCCCGGCGATCGGATCCAGATGCTTCGCGAGGCTCAAGGGTTGTACACAACAGCTTCGCGTTGCTATCCGGCTTTCAGGAACCTTTTCGGGTTTAGGGGTTTGCGGCTCTGAATAGCGGTTTCAGTGTTTTTGTTGCATCCTGGAAGTCGGTTTGTGTGGCCCCTTTTCCTCAAGCCACCTGCGAAAACCGTGCTCCCTACAAAGAGGCGGTCTGCATCCTCAGAATAATCAAATTCCAAAGCCATTGCCCAGCGAATTAATTCGGGGGAAGAGAGATCCTCAGCTATTAACAAAGAAGACAGTCGAAGACTGACGAAGATCCCTTGAAGCCACTATTGTCTTGCCTTCTCGGCAACAAGTAGAAGATACGCCGTCTCAGGCTCCGTAGTAACGAAGTAAACATCGTATGACCTCTCAGGCAATAAGCGCAGAAGGCACTTCGGGGTATGATGAACGGTTGAACCCACCGAAGCAAGAACTTGCCGGCGGACGTGCGGTAATTGCCAAGCTTATCCGACCATTGAAACCCTAAGCCCTAAAGCGTAAGAGACAAGTACAACTTGTCAACTCACGCTTCCTTCAAGTCTTCACCAGCATAGACCGTCCAGATCTCGATCGAGAGAGCCCTGCTTATCAAATGTGAAGCAGGTTTAGGGTTTCAGTGGGCTTAGGTTTAAGATTTTGGGGTTAGGCTTTAGGGTTTCGAGAAGATGTATCCCGGATCTTTAGCCCTCAAGCTGAACGCGTGGTCAAGCCCTCAGCTCGACCGCGACAAGCACAAAGCCTAAATTAACAAAAAACGGGCGGCCCGAAAGCTGAAGCCCTAGCGCCCAAGTCTTGTGCACTCGAAGGCAACACAACCCCAAAATGGACACTAAAATGCCCATCCCTTTGAAAGGAGATCCTGCAGCTGCGAGCTTGGCAGGAATCTGGGAGGCTGGGTCACTTCAGCCAAGAACTTCGTTGACCGGTTTTACAAGGATAGGAGAGGGTGAGGTTGTGACGGTGATGATTTGAGCAATTTTGAGCAGCTCGGCGGGGCCACATCAAATTGGAGCAAGTGGCTTTCCGGCCCCAAACACGGCCGTTGGTTCAAGTGCGGCCCAGAGTTAGCGTGTAGCTGCAGGTGCCCCATCCTCACGCAGAGCGCCATGAGCCAGCTAAGGACAGCCGTCGCACTCGTCGCGGCTGCCTGCCTGGTAAGCATCGCCTGCGAGGCCTTCGTGTCGCCGTCGGCACGCCCTGCGCCGCTCGGTGCGGCGCCCAAGGCCGCCGCTGCGGCCGCGGCGCCGTCCATGGAGGCTGCCGGTTGGGGACTCGCAGCAGCTGGCCTGGCCGTCGGAGCCCACGCCGGGCTCGCGGTGGCGTTCCGTGCCCGTGCTGCGCGCAAGGCCGAGACGAAGCCGGCGGAGAAGAAGTACGTGGAGACGGTCGCGGACGAGCGTCTCTTCGAGCAGGTCTACTTGCAGTACACGTCGGAGTACTTGAAGGGCCCTCTCTACTGGCATCCGGCCCGGACATTCATTAGTAACACTGGCACTGTTCCTTAGGGTTCCTTGTATTATGGTTCTTACATTACAAGTCTGATATAGTACACCCCAAACCCTATTCTAATGAACACGGCCCTTATAGTCGCCTTAAGAACAAGGCACCCGGACAAGTTGCAGGGCTGGCTCCCAGATTACCCGGGCACGCCCATGATCAAGGAGGGCAAGTACACGAGCCATGTGATCGGAAACCTCAAGGCTTTCAGCTCAAACGAGCTTCTAGGTGCCGGGATCTTTGTAAAATTTCCCTTATGGTCCTTCTTGAGGTAGTTCAAAAAGACTGTAGGGGGCCCCAAAAGTAGAACCCAAGGCTTGCATTCCTCTCCATGCTCTTCTTTGGCGTCGGCCTCTATGGCAACCTGCAGTTCAACTTCTACGACCCGCAGTGGGCCAAGGTGGATGCTGGTGGTTTCTTCAATGTGTCGTACATCGTGGAATCCTTCTTGCTTCCCATCTCCTTCTTCATGCACATCGCCTGCTATATCCAACGCCAAAACGGGAAGTGATGGCATGGTGTGTAGTGGTTTGTTATATAAATTTTGAGAGGGTCGTCAACGTCTGGCCCCTCGTTGTTCCCAATGCACGTAAGACGTGCTAGGTGAGTGGGAGTATTGACAGCTGCTCCTATACTCGCCAGACTGGGACGCGACAGAGCGTTTAACAAAGGCCAGGCTGCAACTTCTACTGTAAACCTTATTTCATGCTTCCCTTTGCAATAAAAAAACGATCTTTGACACATTGACAGGATAATGATTCGTACTCAGTATAACCAATATTGAGAAAAGCAAGAACAGCAATTAGAGTTCCTTTGTAAGGACTCCGTAGCCAAGGAAAGCTTGAGCTCAGGAATCCGGAAGCAAACGCAGCCAACACGGCTTGTAAGATCCAACCTGCTGGCATCGAACGCCTCGAAAGCTTGAGCGTGTTAAGCAGCCACACTTGAGAGCTACCATAAGCTAGAAGCCTAAAAAAAAATCCTATATTGTTCCATACGGTTCCTTCTTATAATGATACTATATATATATATAGAGGAGCCCAAACCCCTACTCTAAAACCCTACTCTAGCTATTAACTTATTGTAGACTTGAGACTTCTCGCCGGGTCGCACCGAGATAAAACGTCCAGGCTAAAGCAACAGTAGGATCCTCAATATTATGACTCCCTTTAGGGTTTAGAGTTTAGGGTTTAGGGTTTAGGGTTTAGGGCCCATTCTAGTAAGAGCCCCACAGATCACCTCGCCATTCAAACCTTCACAGAGCTAGCATGTGAGCTTTCTAGAGGCCAGCAGGTGCCTTGAACGCCAATCCTAAAGCCCTCAAACTTTAGGCCCCAAACTCTATGGCTTTGAATTTCCAGCTAGACCATCTCCCCTGCCAGGTAGAGCACTTCTGGAAGGACTGGGTTCGCAGCTGACGTAGGTTCGGGGGCTAATGTGTAACCCTAAACCCTAAACCCTAAACTGTATTCGACGGCTCTGGAGGGTTTGTTTGGTTTGGGCCGTTTTTGGTTTATGGCTCTTTTGATCGGCATTTCCAAGCAAAGATTCTGCTTGCTTTTTAAGATTTCTACAGGGGGTACAGTGCCGGCCTCCACAACTTGAAGACGGAGACCCTTCATCTTTTCTTTACCATAGAGGTTTGAATAATTAGCAACCCCTCCATATAGATATATGTCTATATGTGATATATACATATATATATACACATATATACACGTACCACTAAAAACCTTGTCTAAATTGCATTAGCTGTTAAGGCCTTGATATTTCACTGGTAGAAACTCTGGTGTAAGTCCGGTGGGGTCTTCGCACTACATGTCAATGTAGGACCCGTGGCAGATTGTGGTAGTTTAGGGCAAGCCCTGGCGCCTGGGAAATCCTAAATCCTAAATCCTATAAACCCTAAGCCATGGAGGCTGAGGGAGAGCGTCGATTCTTTGGACCTGCCGGCTTCAGGGTACTGGTGTGGGAGCTCTGGACCTCTCCCTGATCCCCTCAACCCTGGCTTTAGACAAGACCCTCTAAGCCCTACCAGCCCCACTTCCTCCTCTACATGGTTCTACTGTAGGTGAACCCTCAACCCGAAACCCAAAATCGAAAAACTCCCAAAGGCTGGTGCTTTCCTTTAACCTAAAGCCGTGAGGACCGTTTGCCGGCGATCTTCGATTCCTTAACGACGCTCCAAAAGCATTTTACTGGAGGCAGCGGTTTCTGGGTGAGATCTTGCTCATGCGTGGCTTTAAGGCTAGGGTTAGGGGCTTAGGAAGTTTAGGGTTCAAGACTGTGGGGGGGGTTAGGTTTTGAGAAGGCAGGAGGCCCCAACCAGGGGATTCACGGGCTTTCAAAGATTGAGGTTTTTCGTTCTGGATGAGTGGCTCGTGTTCATCGTGTGATTCAAGATCTGCGATTCCAACCACGATCATAGAAATTGTGCTGTGCTTTGGCTTACTTGTGCAGTCTTTGTTGTTCACGGCTTCCCGGTCATCGTTTCCGCCGTGCTGGATGTCGTCGTGCGGCGATGGTGGTGGTGTCTTCATATCGATCGTTGTCGGTTTAATTCGACTTCTAGCTATCTTCTTGTAGCGAGTTTGGCACCGCTGACGTGTTCATCGTGCCACCCTGTGCTTAGAGCATGACTGTTCTCGCTATCTTTAGGTAAGTCTTCGGTAGATCACGTACCTGCAACGCGAAAAAGTTACTGCAAAACACATTGCGATATAGCATTTGTCTTGGTACAACATCTGTTCTTGTTCTTGTTCTTGCTGCTGTGTATTACAGTCACGCAGCCACTGCCGACCATGATCTACCGTCGAGGTGATCCCCACATTGAATCGCGAACTGCCATAAGACCGGCAACCGCGCACCGAACAAGAGCAAAACAAGACATGGATGGGACAGGCCTCCCGCAAATCCGATGCTCCGTCGACGTCGTAAGATGTTGCGTTTTGGGCTTCTGGCTGGGAGTTTCGTACAGGTTTACGACTTCGCTTCGTGGCTTGCCGTCAAAGGTCCTAAGCGTTCAGTGGTTCAGGAATCTAAGACAGTGAAGTGCTGCAGCTTTCGCAGGGGCAGATGCCGAAGAGACGGGTGAGACTACCCTCGAGGCTACCGGAGTGAATGGCTTTCGAGCACTACAGGGGCTTTGATAAGCCACCTTGAGTTTCGATTCTCACACTCGGAGTTTAGGGTTGCACATTATAGGAAAAGAAGTCTAAGTATACGCAGAACAAGAGACACAAGTTGGTAGGATTAAGGGTTTAGGGTTTGCAGCCCATACCTAGCTGAACTTCTGTCGGCTCAGACATGCAGGCGATTGCACAAGCCCTGATGCAACAAGGGGTTGCAGTCCTTGCTCAAAAAAGGGTTTAGGGGAGAAGTCTGAGCTGGCAGGACCTCAGCAGCGGTGAGTCGCTGTGGGAGTCTCGGGCCATCAACTCAGCTTACATCTGGCCGACGGGTTCCGGTTTTTTCAACACGTCGGCACCGTGGAACGTCTTGTAGGCCGGTGATGACCATGATGATAATAATTCAAGCGGTGATTTTCTTGGCTATGCGGTACTGCACGTGCTTACAACAAGAGCCGCTCACTGCCGCTACCTGTTGCCACGACGGCGTTGCGACGAACTCCAGCCATGCAGGTCTGTCAGAATGATGTTACCGTTGCTCAGGCATAGTCTCCGATGGCGTATCCCCGAACTGGGAGTTTCCGAAAATAAGGGGTGCTGTATTTTGGGGTTCTTAGAATAAGGATCCTACTATTTAGGGTACTATATTAGGGTCCCCTATGTTCGGAAACCCCCGAACTAGCTGCAGCTACAGCAGACACAGCCAGTGGTCGGCCATGAGGTCTGGAGTGACATCAGCGTTTCCGACTTCAGGCACAGGGGTTTGGGCTGTTGGGATCTCTGCGTGTTGCGGCTGTGCTGTCTTTCCGATTGAGAGTTCTGGCCGATCAGGGACTTAGATAGAGTTATTGATTGATTGATTGATTGATTGATTAATTGAGATAGATAGGTAGATAGATAGACAACTAGATAAATGGGCAGATAGGCAGACAGAGAGACAGAGAGAGATTGTTGCAGACCTCAGCTGGGATTCGTGCTCAGGGCTGACGCCTGGCCGGGGCCTGCTCCCGTACCAAGCAGAAAAGTCTGAAACCGTGGTTGTCCCTAAAGCCGGAACCCGGTTTTTCAATTTGGCAACCTTTCTCGAGGAGTAGTGCCGGGTTTGGGGCTTCTCATGCAAAAATGGGTTTCTCATGCACACCAGGTTTGTGGAGAGCATGATCTGAAGCCACTGCTGTGGGCGATCAATCCGGTTTAGATCTGGCAAGGCCGTTGCAGAGGGTTGAGTTGAGAAACCCTAATCCCCGAATCCTGCCCCTAAACCCTAAATCCTAAACCCTAAACCCTAACCCCCGAATCCTGCTCGAAACGACCACGGCCCGGCAAGGATGCTCGACAGAAAGCCACATTAGATACCAGAATAATGTAGGGGCTTTAATAGTTACCTATACTTTCTTGGTGGTTCCTTATTACACTTATAGTATAAGTGGCCCCAAGGCCCAAACCTATACTTTCTTGGTGGTTCCTGGTTATACTTATAGTATAGTGGGCCCCAAAACCCTCTTCTAATTATTAAGGCCCCTATGTTAAGTGCCCCTACGGGTGGAGGAGCCTGCTATTGGAGCGGGATGAGCTGCGCCGCACAGTGAAGTCGATGCAGCAGGCCCCGGGAAATTGTTTATGGAGCCTATGAGGAGTGTGTTCTTAGGTGTTGAACGGTTGGACCGGGCGCATGGAAGAATTTACGGCAGCGTTTCAGAGAGTTTTTAAGAAACCCTGCGTGCGACGGCTTGAATTCTGTAAGACACCACATGAAGCCTTCTGGCTCTGAATTCGTTTTTCAACCTGACCCACACATGCTTTTGTTCAGGGTTCAGGGTTGCATTCACGGAACATGCCAGATAAAATCTTCATGCGCAGATGTTGGGCCATGTAAACTACGCTTGTCGGCAGACCGGACTAAAATGCATTTCATGGCAGAGCCTCCTTCCACCAACTTCCACCTCAACTCCATGCGGCAGTGCCGCATAGAACTGATGTGGGATTTGGTGTGATGTGTATGGCAGATGAAATCATGGCACATGAATTCAGGATGTCGTCACCGTCGTCTGTGCTGCATGGAATTTGGTGTGGAATTTTGGGTTCGTGGTGCTGAATCCGGGAGCCTGCCTGCTGAGCCCGGCTACTGTAGTGAGCAGTATCTACAAGATGCAGCCCTGAACACTGTCGGAACAGTTGAGGGTGAAGGCTATTTTGAAACAAGACGTATCACGAGCCAACGTACAGTCGTCGGCCGGGACGGCTTCGGTTCAGTGTGTGGTTGGTCGTTGGTGGAGTCAACTGGATTGTGCATTTGGCGCGACTCTAGGTAGCACTCTATGTAGTCGTCCTCGAGCTGAGTCAGAGAATTCCCTGGGCGCTGGGCCTTTCGGGTTAAGGGTTT